AGGCAAAGATTGAAAACTCTGGTAACCTACAAGAACTGCAATAATCCAAATCCTGTAATTTGTTTTAATGGGAAATAAAATGTGATTACTCACTCAAAATTGGCTTCTGGCACTATCATAATACAAGCTCTTTTTTTTTTTTTCCTGACTAGAGCCAGAAAACAAATGAAATATTACTTTCATATGGAAAATAAAACAGAAGTCTGATGTAACGCACAAACAAAAATGCACTAAGGAAAAAGCTGAAGTGTAAGGGTCAGATAGGGTGCATGCATTATACACAATTGAAAATTATAAAAAAACTGTGTGAAAAAGCAAGAGTAGAATGATTTGAAATGGAAAGAAGATGACACCTTAGAGTTATGTACCAGAAAGAATAAGAAAGTAAAAAAAGAAAGATATGTTTCTGACGCTTGGATTTTTCTTGCTTTCCTCTGAGGCCAAGGGTCCCATTGGGCTCGTTGAAGAGGGTAGGAACTTACAGCTTTTCATGCCAACTTGGGCAAAACAGACCTCTATCACTGCTCAAATGATGAAAACTTGTTCATTTTGAGGCTTAAAAAAAAACCCCTGTATGTTTCCATCTATGCCTGCCTTGAAGCCCCATATTTAAAATAATAGTGTTAAAATTACTTATGRCACAAGTGTGCTCCAAAGTCAGGAAATGCTAAAGGATGCTTGGATGGCTGTCACTGAAGTGCTTCATTAAGGAATATGTCATATAGTGGGGACAGAATTTAGAGTCCTTTTGCACATCAACAGCCTTAAATTTAATCTGTTTCTAATGGAGAGCTAAATGAAAGCATCCAAATTATTTCTTTGGATAAAGTACATGAAAAAAGAAATTTAAGAATGGACCAGTTGCCTCTAGATGTTGTTGGAGGCAATGTCAGTAAAATTTGAGAGAAAATTGAAATGGCAACCTCCTGTTAYAGAAGACAGTGTCTGAGAAATTGCATTTCTGGAGCAGGAAAAGTCAGGAATGCTGTTATTTGTGCAAAAAGTGTGAGCTAGGAAGTGATGTCTTCTTCACCAGAACTTATTCAAAGAACAATCTGCCTGATTTACATAAGAAATCTAAGGTCTGACGCTGAAATGAACATAGAAAATCAGGATTATCTGGACTACAAACAGAAACCTCATTACCCATTAGCTCATTTATTAGTTTTACAAAAAATGACCTTGCCTTTTTAAATAAGAGAAGACAGAAAGAATGAAAGCTGTATTACTCAAAAGCAAACATTAACCTACTGCTGGTTAGAACTATTTTTATTAATGTRKATGATTTGAATYCTTYCAYTCMRWTTTTTTTCTTTTTCTTTTCAATTATTTGATTATTCTAAAAATGTTTAATGTAAAAACTAATCAGGATGTAGCAATTCTGCAAATTAAAAATATGTATTTCTGTTCTTGTGAAAATTTAAGAATAAACAGAATATGTTAACACCTTGTTTTTTACAGTGTTTTTTAAAATATGGTCCTCTGTTTTGTTAGGGAACAAACAAAAATTCAAGTATTTTTAATAGAAATGATATAATTAAATGAGTGGGAGAAAACATATCCATATGCTGTATATGGGTATATATGTGAAAGTCAAAATCACATTGTATAGATATGACTATGAATAAGTCTAAAAGAGCAACCTTGGGCCAGGGTATAAATCCAGCACAGAACATCGCTAATTGCAAAATGCATGTTCTGACATATATTAAGAAAATTTTATTTGACTCCTCTGTTTGTCATGTCTTTTTTTAAATCTCAGCAGTAAATMACTGATTTATGCAGTGATTTTTTAGCCAATGACAGATGTTCATCATAAGCAGGTTTATCTAATACAAATAATCTTGAGATATTCCCACCTGCATTACTTTGAATTTTTTAGTAACTACATAGTCTATTTGTAAGTGGCATCAGTAACTTAATATTTTTACTTGWAACTGAACCAGCTACATATTGTTTGGGTCAGAATAAATCCTTCTCTCTGTCAAGCAATTAAGATATTTGACTTCAGTTTGAAGATGGAAGCTGCAGAGCTTCAATTTATTTAATTCTTTCAACCATAGTGACTGGCAGTTCTAAATAAACACTATTAATAAATCATTAATCTGTAACTAAAGACTAGGATCTTCCTGGAATATTTGTCAAATGCCTRCTTCAGGAAATCTCACTGGAACGCCTGTCATTCTCACAATTACAGTGGAGAGAGCAGACTGTTTCAGACAGCTAAATTAAAGCATGAGAATACCAGTAGCATATTGGTTTTGAGACTGTAATAATCCCTGTGTTATTTACAATAAGAATTCAAAATACCAAGTCTCAAAATGCTAAATAAAAATAAAAAAAATATCTGTTGATTCAGTTTAGTAAATGGGACCCATGGCAATGGAAGAAGCAACAACCCCTACAAGGCATCAGGAATAAGAAACGGGGATGAAAAATRAAAATTATGAATATTAGTAGGAAATTTGATGCATTTCTACTTCTYACCTCAGCCTCCAGGTTTCAAATGGTGCCTGAAATGTCATTCATGCAATTATTACCRTATCAGGTTGAAAGCAATTTCAACTCAACTGATTTAATTGTGCATTAATGGCTGGGAAGATAAGGACTGTGCATGGTAAAAATAGCTGCCCATTACAATGGCAGAAAATGTGGTCAAACTATCTTATTAGATGACCTAAAATTCCTTGATCATCCAGATGGCTTTGTTTTTTTTGTTTATTAAAAATTAACACAAAATAAAAAGGAGGAAATAASCTAATTGAACCCTTTCCTGTCAACTGCACCTTCCTTTTTGAAGTGTGATTGAATCTTTTTGATTAAGTTTACTAAATCTCATGGTGCTGAAGATGGAAAGTATGAGTAGCTCTGTTTCTTGCCTGTCACTGATGCTTGCAAAGTACARTGTGTGTCACACTTCCTTTTCCCTGGAAATTTGACTTGTAATCTGTCAACGACTGCAATTTAATTCCAGCAAAATGAGGAAAATAAGAAGTAATATGTTGGTTACTGCTTCAGCCATCGCCAAAAGTCCAAAAGGGTCTCGTTGCCAACTATTGACTTGGCAGTGTTTCTGACAGCAGAGAGCCTGGAGCCATCAGAGCAGCCCTTTCCCTCATTCGTTTGAGCATCTCAGGGACTATCTCTGTTTATTGCTTTTTTGTCCTCTGTCATGTACCTCTTTCCTTATCTTTACTCTGTAAAACAAAAAACTTGTGTTTAGCCCTACGGAAGTTCATGCCTCGCGTTTTTTTTTCTAAACTATCTCCTGCATTTAAGTTGAGAATGAATTTGCAAAAGCTGCTGTCACTAATGGTTCCCTGTATATGGGCTGTGGTCTCCCAGCTTTTGTTTGGATTGGTTTGGCTGTGTCCTGTTTCTTCATCAACTTCACTGAACCTAAATAGATACAACTGAAAAACTTTTTCAGAATTTCTCCTTATTTTTGTGTACACTGTCTGTTGACTTGCACACTGAGATCATCTCGATATTGGTCAAACAAGAAAAACCAGTGAGAAGGGAGTAAGTTTCAGACATATATCATCCAGTCAGGAGCYGTTAAGAGAAAAATCTGAACAGAAAAAAATTCTAGTGATCAGTGACACATGAAGGTCAAAAGAACTGTAAAACCATTTCAAAACTCCTCTCAGGTAGCAGAGACAGGCATTGAAAAGTCACTCTGGAAAAGTCAGCTCCTGCTGACCACACTGGAATAATGATGCTTAGGAAAACAGACTGTTGTCTTAAAAATCCTAACCTCTTACATTTTTTCCTCCTTATGTAAATTATTAAGAAGAATTAGTATGTAAAATACAGTACTTCTCAGACTAACTCTCTTATGAAGCTCCTCCACAGGAGTTGCAAAGGATCTTTTTTTAAAGATCTTCCCCTTTTTTTTTAATCAAGGCCAGACTATAAGAAACTTTTATGTGTCTTGATAAGCCATGAACTATAAAAGCAAGCAGGATATATGATATTTATCAGCATAACTTTGGAGACTTGTGACAATATCTCCAAAAAGAACACCACTATGAAAAGGAACTGAAAAGAATTTAATACAGTGAGATCTTTTTTCAATACACCACATAGAATTTGATGRGTTATTTTGGAAAGGACCCTATCCATTATAATTTTTTATATGTCTCTAGTGAAACATCATGGGTGGAACATCTGGTTTTTTTTAGCAGCATACACGTGAAGAAGAAAGAATTAATTTGAAACTCTAGAATTGCCTTAGTTCTATCTGGCTTGGATACCAACCTCACCAGCCTTATTCTTGGGAACAATCATAGCAGTAACTTGAGTAACTAACAGTAACCACCACCACAAAAAACTGAAATGTCATCGATTTCATGTAATCTGAATACTGTATAGATTTCATGTAATCTGAATACTGTATAGAAGTAATTGTAATTTCAGTTTCTTACACGTTTCTCTCCCTAAAGACTTTTATCAATAAACATATAAGAACTCCTTGGCAGAAATAGCAAACACCCCTTCTTTGCTAGTGGTGTTAGGTCAGGCAGAGACCGGACAGTAGGCACTGCCATGAAAGAGAYAGGACATGATTAAGACATTGTGCTCTTAGCTTCATGTATAAATTATGCATATGTGGTAGGGGAAAAAACTCTGTCAATGGGGTTTTTTTCTCCAAATATTGTATTTTGACAGAAGAAACTTTAATTTATTGATTTATACTATCCCAGGGAATAAATGGRTGTGAGTTGGGTAAAAGTTGCACTTAAAAAATATCTCCTCTTTTTGTTTGTGAGAGTGTTCTTTTTAATTTTGACAGGGAGTTTTTTAACTTGACTGAATTCCTGACCACAGAAATGGTTGGGCAGGGAGTTCATAATTAGCTACTCAGTCAATTGGTTATTTTGTGGGTGCAGTAAGGACTGTGCGTGAAAATGAAATCCAGCAAAATAATGAAACCACATATTAGGCATGTCACATCTTAATAAACAGTGATGTCTAATTAMGAAAGAATCTGTACTTACTTTCCAAGTGCAAAACACTCCATCYTAACAGTAGTTCCCTTTGCAGCTGTAACTGTGTAAGGAAAATGGACTTCAATTTTTGGTTCATATTCCCCCATCACACCTGGAAAATAAAAAAAGTTTAAAATATGAAATATCATCAGTTTTCCATTATCACAGAAAGACCCTGTGGCTGGMTTTTTGAATCTGCCCAGCAGTAAAGCTGGTAATTGATGGAGATAACCTCCTTTGATCAGATATGCTGTRCTCAGATCCAGCACAGATATACTAAAATGCTCTCTAGATTACCAGCAGCACAAGAGTGAGCTTAAAAAATGATTTATTTTTTCAAACTTGAGTTAATATTTAAAATTTCAAAGATTAAAGTKGGCAATCAATGGAGGAGCCAGACTTTTAATAGACCAAATCTTTATTTACCAGAACAGTGACAATTATGACAAAAAGATCAACATATCATTCTGTGCTTGACTGTGAAACATCTAAACTCAGCAAAAACCCCTCAAATTATGTAAAATCATTCGTGTACACAGATACAAACACGGATATGTAGACATGCAAAATTCAGTTATTTCATTTTCAGTGAGACTTTTAATTTGGAAGATGATTCTTTTTAACAGGACAACACATTAAGTGCTGTAAGATATAACTAGAAAACATTCAGGAATGGGAAAATATAAACAAGGAAATCAATAGAGTTAGCTGAGATTTCTTGTAGCATGATTGACAGCTTTGGAGAATCACAAGATCTTAGGAAATAAGAAACCGTAGGGAAATGCAAGTATGTTTGATAAGGTGAGGGAAGACATTTGTATCTGATGCTACTTGGAGGAAATGTCATAATCAGCAAGGCAGGAGAAGAATATGACTCTAACAGCTGTGCTTAGCTGGACGAAAGTTGGGCTATGAGGGTATGAAATACTTAGGAACAAAGAGCTATATTTAACAAAGTAAGAATTGCTGAGATTTTTAGATGAGGAAAACTGAATAAAATCTGACTTATTGAAAAAGTAGCAATAAAACAAGTCTAATCTAAATCTGAAAACCAGTCAAGATTCTCCAAAAAAAATTCTAAAGGAACAAGAGACAAAAAGGAAGGAGAGAGGAGAGATATCTTATACAATAAAGAAAAGAAATGAGCATAAGAGGAAACATGGAAGTAAGGGAATATGAGATTTACAGCTTAGAGACCAGCTGGCAGAGATAGATGGAAAAACAATCCACAGCCTAGGAGGGCAGAAAACAGTACATAAGACTAGAACTGTAAAACACATATTCCTGGCCCTTCAAATGTTCCTTATGGGACTCAGGAGTTTCCAGTGGGGCTGTGCTCTCATTTTCCTGCTGTCCCACAGGCTTCTGAAGCTTGGTTCTGGGAGGAAATCTGAACATATATGCATGTAAGGGTTTCATTAGGGGCTTGAGTTGAGTTAGGAAATCTAAATGGGTCTGATAAGTGAATCAAATGACAAAAGCAAAAAGCATAAAATGCTTTCATTTCAAATTATGTAATTCCAGATATAAAGTGGCCTTATAAGTAGATTTCTTTTTACAAATCAGAATCCTGCAAGTATTGCATGTGCTAGCAATAGTGACCCATTTCTTCAAAAACATGACTAAATCAGTGTTTTGACATTGCTTTATGAACTTCTTCTTTTTTTTTTTTTTTTTTTTTTTTTTTTTAATACAAGAAAATAAATTAACATGTGTGTCCTGGGTATTAAAATAAAACCAGGCTATCAAACTAATTGTAGTCAATTAAAATTTTCCTTATCTCAGACTGACTGAAATGATTGCTAGTATAATATGTCATAAAAATGTATTCCCACAGGCTTTTCAATAACTTTTATAATTTTGTTACACTCATTGTAACTTCTTTCACTGTCTTATGAATTTTGTTTATTGTGAATACTGGTTTCTGATTCATCTCAGTTAACCAATTGCATAGTTTTATATGATATTTATCATATCTCCTTTTAAATGTGTCTTTTGCAGACTTAAGAACCCCAGACCATTAATCCTTCCTTATAATGAATCTTTAATAAWCATTCCTAGTGCCCATGTAGCACCACTTCAAATTCCTTTCTGTCACTTTGAGATGTGAAGATGAGACTGCACAGCAATAATGGAGATGTCTTTCACTCTTTTTTTTTTTTTTTCTTCAAAAGTTTCTGTTTGTTCTTTTTTGCTTTCCACAAAATGCAGTTCTAGTTGACATTTTGTACTGGAGTCAATATTCATACAGAGTGGCACCCTAATCTCTTTACTGATAAAATCTAATAAAGGTATTATATTTTTAGGTTTATGTATCATATGAATTTGGTGGTGATGACATTATTTATTGCCTATCCACTATTTCTATTACCACAATATCCTTTCACAGCTCTTCAGATTTAGTTTTAACTTAATAATTCTGAATAATTTTATATCAACAATTTTCTCTACTTCTCTGTTCATTTTTTTCCAGACAGTTCATATGTTGGATGGTGAAGTCCAAGAAAAGTCTTCACAATATCCCAGTTCTCGAAACTGTTTAGATTCTCCTGCAACAGGTGGATTTTTTCTAATCTGTTTTTAATTGAAAAGAGAATTTAATTTCTTTGAAAGCCTTTGATGAGTGACCCTGTAAAGAGCTACGCAAAATGAAAGCACCTTGACATTTCTTGTTCATGTTCTCTTAGAATCTTTAGTAAAGTTGTATCCATACTGAAGCATGATTTTTCTGTTCAAAAGCTGTATCATTGGAGCATGACTGTGTGGTAAGACTACTGTATGATAATGTGCTGAATACAATCCTACTGATTGGCCTTTTTAATGTTTTTTTTTTCTATCAACACACTTTAGACAGAAGTCAGATCCAGTGGTCTGTTATTCCTCAAATGTTCTTAGGAGTCCCTTTTTTGAAAAAAACCCACCTTTTTTACCTACCCTCTTTCTAGTCCTGAGGCTCAGTGAAGGAAAACAGTACATCCTGCTTCCTTCCATACATAAGTTTGGCCTTGGGGGTTTGTTAGTATTTGTAGTGTCAATATTTCTTCTAAAATTTCTTCTATTGAAACATTAATTACAAGAACTTCAGTCCTGACAGGGGAACCTACTAAGTTCCCTTATAGTGAGCCCTGCTGAAAAMAGTTCACTGAGGTTTTACGATGGAGGGTTATATTTCTAAGGTGTTCCTTTTAAATCTCTGTTGACTGTTCACACTCCCTGACAGGTTTTGTGCTTCGATGAATTTAAAAACAGGATGTTTTTGCTTTGGGGTAAGACTTTGTTCTGGAAAGTAACTGTTTTGAGTTGTCATACAGTATTTAATACTTGCTTTTTTAGCCCTGAAAAGAATTGAACTTAAAATAGGATTAAATAATTCTTGCTTTAAAATAATACAGTATGTCTGTACCCATCTGAGGGTCAATATTATGTTTCAGATCTTATGTTTTTAAGTTACATTAACTCCCTTTGGTAAGTGCAATCTGTACATGTACTGAATGCTCTTTGCATGTCATGCCATYATTTATTATTTTTAATAAAATACTGATCTGCTGATGCTTTGTACTGTGTCCTGTTCTTCTGGGTTATTGCTATCCTAGCAAGCAACATGCCTGCAGCAACTTGCAGAAAATATATGAAAATTACTGAAYAATTTCTTGGTGTCCCTATGAAAATTAGGAAAAAAAAAGTCTATTATTGCAAAGGGATATTTTCCATCCTTATTATTTATGATCTATGAGACTTTTGAAGGCCATTACAGTTGCATAGACGTTAAGGGAATTATTAAGGCCTTACCTTCCTGCATTACACTATGATTGCTTTGCTATGGCTGGGATGCCTCTAGGCTCTTTAGCTTTCCAGCTTCTATTTTGGTCACCATGAGTCAGTGACAGCAAAACAACCACCACCTGCATTTTCATAAAGATTTTTGTTCATTTGTATTAGATGCTAAAAGGAACCCAAACTTTGAAGAAATATATGAGGCTTTGAGTTATGAGCACTGGAATCAATCTCTCTCAGGCTTATGTACATGACTTTCTTACAGAGGATTAGCTAAGGTCATAAAKAATCCTCTCAGTCATTTTTTATATGCAGTTATCAAACATGAAATACAACAATAAATAAAATTGATCAGCACACAATAAAAACATAATATACAATTTTCAAGTGGCTAACAAATCACWGAGCTCACATGGTTTGAGCACTACAGAGCAATGGGATGCTCTTCTCAGCGCTTCTGTGCTCTGCTTTGCCATGAAAATACCTCCTTTCTGACAACCTTTTACTTTTCAAGGCCTGACCCCCATTGTTCAATATTTTTTAAGCTAATTGCTTAGTTTACTCCCAACTAATTACTAACTACACTCCCTACTGTGTAAGCTGTGTATTTCATCTGAGTTCAGACTTGGGTATGAAAGTGCTGAATTTGTAATTGTTATGAAACAAAATGAATCTAGTTTACCATAACTTGAAATTGGTCTGGGATTAGAAAAGGGTTTAAAATCCAGACTTTCACATTTRCTTAGGTAAATTTTATCCCTGGGCTTTATTCTGAAATACATGATTCCACTTCAAATTTTCCAGTGTTTGGGTCTCTGCCCTTTCAGGCGGGGTCTTCTTGGCTGGGGGAGATGATTTAAAAGCTAACAATCTTTTTGTACTGTCTCTGATTACCAAAGAAAACACTGATTCAAAGGATTGAACATATCCCAGAACAATGCACAGTTTGACCTTGTTAGAATCAATGGCTTGATCACCTGGCCAGAAAAAGACCTCAATATTTGCAGAAAATATCTCTCCTTCAGATATTTTTTACAATGATGTAGTTATCACAAATTAATTACTCTCCAATTCAGGTACAAAAAAACAATTATTCAGAAAATCAGGTTTCCTTTTAATAARGGGTTCCATTTAACAAGTTGTTCCCCCAACTTTGCTGCAAATCTGTGACTTGAGTTCTACACTCAGCTACTCAGTGTCCTATGTACCCTAAACTATAATGTCTGCTTTTCATTTTTCTATGAAAAAATAGAGATGACATAATAATGTGAAAAACATTGATTTTGAGGTGCTCAAATATCACAGGAATAGATGTAATGAAATTTCAAACATTCACAG